TGTGTGTGTGTGTGTGTGTGTGTGTGTGTGTGTGTGTGTGTGTGTGTGTGTGTGTGTGTGTGTGTGTAAAAATATTACTGTGTATATCATTGTATTCTATACTATGTCGTCATTTTCCAATGCAGGTTTCTAGCATTTGGGCACTCATACAGGATGATCGCAGGTAGCTTTCGGGTGTTTGTTTCCACCGTCTCCAAGATCATCCCAGATGTGACCACTGCTATCTGGGACTGCTTAGTGGATGAGTTCATGGCCGTGCCTGGAGTGGATGACTGGAGGTCAATAGCGGATGAGTTCAAAGATCTTTGGAACTTTCCTCTGTGCTGCGGTGCTGTGGATGGGAAGCATATCAGGTTAATAGCACCCCCAACTTGGGCTCCCTTTTTTTAATTACAAGGGGACACACTCGCTGGTTCTTCTGGCACTGGTTGACGCCAAGTACAGGTTTTGCATCATCGATGTTGGGGGTATAGCAGAACCAGTGACCGGGGGATCTTTGCCAACTCCACTTTTGGCCAAGCTGTGGGTGAAGGCAAGCTAAATCTGCCCCCTGACCAGTACCTCCCTAACGCAGACCACAGAGGACACCAGCCCTACGTCTTCGTGGCGGATGAGGCATTTCCACTGCGCAGGAATTTGATGCGGCCTTTCCCTGGATGCGGTGGCCTTTCCAGAGAGCAACGTGTGCTCACTTACAGAGTGTCATGGGCGCGTCTTGCTGTCGAGGATGCATTTGGGATCTGGTCTGGCCAGTGGAGAATGTTACACCTCGAGCTGAAAATCGCTGTAGGAGTAGTGGAGAAATGTGTGAAGGCCACCTGTGTTCTCCACAATTTCATGCGGGCAAGTGGGCAGACACCAGCACTATGTGGACAGGAAGAACATCTTGAAAGAGTTCCGAGAATGGGAGCAAATTTTGCGGCCAGAGCAGCAACCGACGCCAGAGATGCGTTTATGGCGTACTTCTCCACAAAGGGAGCAGTGTCATGGCAGCCAACTGAGTAGTCATGTTTTCCACAGGACTGACTGACAACGGCTCTTTTAAGAGCCACCCACAAACCTAAAGAGCATGGACCCATTTAACATGTTTGTTTACATCCAGTCAGGGCTCGACAAGATTTTATTTTTTTACCTGCCCGACAATGGGTTTTACCTGCCCCAGGCAGTCGGGCAACAGGATTTGTCGAACCCTGCATCCAGTGTTTTTATGTGCATGTCCTGTTTGCAAAAAGTAGTTGCTCTGTAGGTCCCTGTTCAATCTGAGCAGTCATACATGATAGGCGCATTATATATGTTTGTACATGCCGAAATGAGTAACTAAACACAACACCAAAAAACTCTGTTTTTCCTGGATGCTCTTCTTTTAAGAAGTTTGTTTGTCTTTCTGATGATTAATTTTCTCTACAGCTGACATTTTAGTTGTAATTTTAGTTGTAATTAAACAACATAAGTTGTAAGTATATTACTAAGTTTTAAAGAGGAAACCAAAGTAAGTATGTGAAGCTTTGAAATCAAAGAAACTATTGTTTCTAACTCGCACATAGAATATACACGTCTGACTTTTGGTGGTTTTGTGGCTAGCAAGCGCTAGCATAATTGCAAAAGCTATTTGCTGCTGTGTCCATCATAAAGATGAAAGGCATTTTTTGCATTGTGACAAAAAGCAATGTCTTTAAAAGGTCTCGCGAAAAACTGTCTGGCTATCTGTCTACAGCCAAATTCTGCGATCAATCCCTGTTCTGATTTGATGCAATACTTATTACATAATTGAAGTGTTAATATTTAATAACAGCAATTTTCCTACGACAAAATTCCACTATTAACAAATTTTGAAGTATAGAGTTGTCAAAGAACAGAAACAGATCTGTAGTATTGAAAGATTTATTAGAAAACAAAATAAAATGTAGACAGGTGTACAGTAGCAAATGTAATAAAAAATGACTAAGAAAACAATATGTTCAAAATATATGTAACGCAGGCAAATACAGTGATGATTGTGCAGGATGGAGACAGTGTGCAAGAGGGAGTGATGGACATTGATGGACATTTCTTCACATGTCCTCAGTCTGTGAAGAATTTTCCAAATCAAGAGTGACTTCCATGTTGTCGTACAACAACTTGTAGATATGGAATTTTCAGTATTCCCTATTATTTTCTGGCACCTTCTGTAGCATTGGATATAGTCCTAACAAGAAATATTGCTCATGATTCAGTGGTGGTGGTGGTGGTGGCGTTGAAGTTGTGGTGGCCATCATAGGTCCATCAAATTGCGCTCAAATGGAGTGGGCTGGGCGATGGTCAGTCTGGTTTGCAGTTTCTTCTGAGGTGGTCGTTCTAAAAAAAGAAAAATAATAATTAGTCTTTGGACATGTTGGAATGTGCACTAGTACGCACACTTAACTGACAATTGGGGGATGAAAATGGATATTTAAAGATATTATTAAGGTGAGAGTGTGTGAGTTTCGCTGAATCAATACACACCGGATGGGACAGCAGATGAAGGTCCAGCCTGCTCTGAAGACGACATGGACGAATTCCATTCCAGCGATGTTTCAAACGAAGCGAAAACTTTGCACGTAATGAGAATTAGTAAACAACGTAGTAATAACAGCAGGACAGCATACTGGAAAGATGAATCAATACTGACCGATTGCAGACTGCTTCCGATTCGTCGCCCAAATCAAGATCATCTGCTTGGTCGTCGTAGCCAGCGGCCTGCTCCTCCTGCTCCTCCTGCAACCTCGACGGCATGTTGCTGCTGGTCTCTCTAGGTGTGACGAAAGGACGCAGGAAGGACAGGACCAACATAAACTTCCATTTCGGAGTGGAATCAGCTCCAGCACCACTCCTGTGTCTGTCTCGCTCCTTCTTGCCCTCCTTTGCGTATGTGTCACACAAAGTCTTCCACGGTTTCCGGCATACAGCCTCTGAGGAAAAGCATTAAAATTGGAAAAGCATTAAAATATGTTGGCTGACACATGGTGGCTCTACTTTGTATTCGACGCTTCAGCTGGCTTAAAAATGCAGAAAATTTAGGGAAAACAACTCGTGAAAACAAAATGGTGTCTTCAACCATTCACATAGCTTAAAATTGCAGAGAAAAATAAACATAATGTCAAAAAACAATGGTAGGTCTGCTGTCTTCAACCATTCAGATAGCTTAAAATTGCAGAGAAAATATTCAACATAACGTCATTAAAAATATGGTGGGTCTACTTTGTCTTCAGCCATTCAGGTAACTTGTAATAGCAGAGAAATATTGAAAAACGTTGTGAAAACTTACCAGACACCCCGACCTCCTCACTAATCTTCTTCCAAGCAATGTCCTTCCTGGTCTGGTCTCTGTAGAAGGGACTGGATTGATCATAAATAATCGGTTTACTGCAAATGGTGGCAATAAGTTTCTCCTCCATATTTACGTGCAAAATACCGGTGGTGTTTTTCGTCCCTTCCTAAATACGTCGTGCAGTGTCCGCCTACTTCTGACTCGTCGTCATCGCGTCACATAGAAGAGTCTCTCCCGATTGTTACTGCTGCTGCGCGTCGAGCAGCCAAAGTTCAATTTGTTGAACTCGAGCACTCGCTCTTTTGCACGTACCACATGCATGGAAAATGCTCTGCCGCATCCTACCGCTACCTTGCGTGCTGCTCTCAACTGGCAAAACGCTCGGCTACATGCTGCCCTGCTCGTAGATGTGCGTCCACCATAGACTTTTCATGTAAAATGGCTGCTTTGGCTGTTCAAAATGCGTTTGGTGGGAACCGGGCTTTACAGCGTTGCACAAAACACAGCAGTTTGGGGAGGTGATTTGTTGAAACAGATTTTTTGACTCAAGATGACAATTAAATAAATGATAAAGTGGATTGCTAGTTCTGCTGCTTCTTGGTCATTTTCTTATGTTTTTGCATACATGATATACAGGTCCTTTTCAAAAAATTAACATACTGCGATAAAGTTCATAATTTTCTGTATTCTCAAAAAATTAACATACTGAGATAAAGTTCATTATTTTCTGTAATGTACTGATAAACATTAAACTTTCATATATTTTAGATTCATTGCACACCATCTGAAGTAGTTCAAGCATTTTATTGTTTTAATATTGATGATTTTGTCAAAAAAGTAATGAAAAACCAAAAATCCCTATCTCATCTCATCTCATCTCATCTCATCTGACATTTCCTGCTGGAGCGTGATGTGATTTGTGTCATGCAGATGTGACGGATCATACAAACAAACAGGGCATCTAACTGATAAATATTTATACATATATTTGCCCTCACCATCCATCTCTTCTTCACTCTCCATCGTCCCGTTTTCAGAAACTCCACAGATTTCATCAAGTAGAGAAATGCATTGAAGCACCAATAAGTTCTGAGCCTTCAACTCCTGCATCAGCTGCTCCAACTCCCGGTTCATGCTGTGTTTAGTCTGGTTCTGGTTCATCTGAGGAGGTTCTGCTTCCTCCTGGGCCATTTCAACCTCCTCCTCCTGACAAACATCTTGCTGTGGGACTTCTGGAGGAACAAACAGACAAATAAAGAAATGTTTAAGGACAAACAAACACATAAAGAAGGAAGTTCAGGGAGGAGTTTGCAGCTTCTTTCAGGCCAGGGTTGGGATCTCAGCCATAGACTTAAATATAAAGATCACTAGACTGAGTCCCGCCCATACCGTACACTGGTAGTGTCTGTGACAGCATGGAGGAGCAAAAATGGCATCCTAAAAGGGCAACAGTTCACAGCCTCCATAGAAACTAATAGATAAACAGCAAGCTGAACTGGATCTGTTTCACAGATTATCTGTCATGTTTTTACAATAAATTAATAACTATGTTAATTTCATTCCACAATCATGTAAAACAGCAGATTTATACCAGAAAAACATAAAATTTATAAGTAACAATGATCTAAACCTGACCTGAAGTCAGCCTGTAACTTAGACTTTAGCTAGTTGAAAAATGATGACTTCAGCTAGTAATAAAGTATATTTA